CAAAAAAACAACCAAGCTCAGAGAATCCCAAGGGCTCCATAGATGGGGCTGCTAACCCAAAGCAGTAGAGCAAGTTGTTGAATTTTAGCTTCTAACATCAGTCCATTTTAGCTTCTAATATCAGTCCAGGTGACAAGCAGATAAGGGTGATATATATATATATATCACCCAGAGTCACCCCACAGTGAGGTGGGTGGTGACAAATTTGAAATATAAATAATAAATATTCAAGTAAATCAAGTGTGAGTTGGTTACTCAGAAGAGCACTGTAGCAATGAATGGATGTCATAGGTAACAAATAGTTGTAGATGACAAAAGAAGATTGCAGGATTTCTGAGGGCCCATATGTGTGAGTTGATTTAGTGTTACATCTGAAACTTATGGTTGGTTTATTAGAAGATGTCAAAGAGTGACACTTTCTAAAATAATACTTAAATTAATGATTATATTCAGTAATATTATTCTAAATTAGGACAAGACAAACAAATTCATAGTTTGCAAGGTTCTTGCACAGGGTTTTTACTGTTTTTTTTTTTTTTTAATAAAAGTCTCACTAGTAGAAGCATTGTTCTTTTACTGGCTCTTGTACAACAGGTCATGCAGTGATACAGCATTGCTTGGATTTGTTTTTCTAATACTAATTTTTCATTTCATTTTTATCTTGCTTTTCAGTATGTTTTCAGCAATTATATTTTTTTAAAATTTGATATTCTTAAAATAGAATGCTATACATTTGTTGTGAAAAAAAGTAACTGAAACCCTTCATATTACAGGCTGAAGTGTGCTAAAATAGTGATTAATGAGAGAACGTACTTATGTTTCATTTTCAGAATCCTTCATATTGGGTGAATGTTCACCATCTGGAGTACACAGATGGCGGAATCCTGGATCCAGATGACATCTTGGCAGATGTTGTGGAAGACAAAGATAAGGTTGATGAAGAATAATACTTTATTTTTAAAGAGAAAGTGTCTGATTACTGTATTGAAATCAGATCTTAATTTAATCTCATGCTAAATTCATATGTTTAATAGTTACTTGTATGACTAATATTAGGTTGAATACATTAAATGTTTATATTGCTGTCTAGTTTTTGTTTTTGTTGAGCTCAGCAAAGATTCTTGAAAAAATACCTGAAATATTGTTAGTTCATATTAAGTATTCAGTGGAAAAAAAAATCTTGAGTGACCTTATAGTTTTGAAGTTTGAGAAGCTCATGGGACTAAGCATTGATTTTAGATGTGTAGATTTGATTCTTTCATTTCATAAAGATAATGGCATTGTCCTGTGTAAATGCATCACTTTCTTCATTAAATATTTCACATATGAAGTTTTAATTGATCCACAGTTTGAAACAATGTATGCATCCTTTTGACAATACAGTATTTTCATGGAAATCCCATCTGTCCCTAAATTTATTGATAATAGCAAACAAGTGTGTGCCTTTTCATTTGTCTGTTCTATACATTATCTCTTCTTTATGCACAAGTATGAGAGTCGAAATAGCCCACATGCTCTAAATGGATTCATTACTTTTAAAAGCTTGGAACTTAATTTTCCTACTGAGCAGGATTTAGGAAAATAATTTGTACCAAAAGTTTTTTTTTTTTTAAATGAGTGTAACCTCCCTCCTTCACAAAGTAAAAAAACAAAACTTCTGAATAATATTTGACTAGTAGGAAAGATGATGGAAAGAGGTGGGTGAAAGTCAATTTTTTGTTCCTTCTGTTCTGGGCAGCAACTCAGAAAAACATCTCCTGATAGTCAGTTGATCCCCCTGAATGAGCTGTCTCTGAAGTGGGAGGCTCAGAGGTGGTGGAGGAAATGCTTGGATTGTTTTTGGACTTAGTTTAGAGTGAACTCTGGTTCACATTTACAGTGTTTTAATCATTGTTTCATGGTATTATATGCTCAGCAATGGCAATGCTGTAGTATCTGGTCTTTTATATCAGATTTTTCCAAACTTTGCACTTTCCAGAATTGCAGCTTCTATAAATTTCAACAATGACCATGGAAAATTCTGGGAGTTGGGGAAGATTATTTGATAGGCCAATAATTAGAAAGTACCTGAAGAATAAAATAGTGTGAATTAGATTATTGGTTCATTTGTGGTTTTTATAGGAGACAAAATATATTTAATTCTGAAAAACATATTTGATAATGTGAGTGGTCTGCAGCAATCTCGTAGATTATCTTAAACTAGCATATACTTTCTATAGTTTCTCTGCCTTAGACAGTTGCAGGGGTGAGGTAAAAGCAAACTTGCCTACTTCCAATTATCATACTGCCAAATAAAATAGAGGATTTTTTCCCTCAAAAATTACAACTATTAGCTTTTTACATGACTTGCATTCTATGAAGGTGAAGTGGGTTGTTCAAACAATTCAGCAGTCTTGGAGTTGTCAGGGAAACTTGGGGTAATTTTAACTGGAGGGCTAAAATTTCTTTTTCTAAAAAAGAAAAAAATGACACAAATTTGAATAATATGCTGTTTCTAACTTAAGAAAATTACAGTATAATTAAATGTGGCATGCTGTACATGTTTACTGTGTCTTGTTGCTAATTAACTGTTGGGATTTTTGAGAAGAGCTAGCTAACAGCTGTTTGAAGTAATAGGAATGGGGAAGGCTTTGGAGGTGATGAGCAAAACAACAAAATATTCCAGTAGTATAATAAAACTCCTAAATTTCCTGTTCTTTGAGGAAAGAAACAGGAAACATCTATGATCAAAAAGAAGGTTAGGCAAGTATCTTTATAGTTCTGTTATTCATCTGCCTTCTGTTTCTTGTATACCTTTTAAAAAGTATTATTAGATGTTTCTCTAACCAAATAGATCCACATGTTTCTTCTCCATTCTCTTTAGCTTTTTTTCTTGTTTCTTGGACCATCCTTTTCTGATACATCAATGGAACAACATGCTGTCTTGAGGTTATTTCAGTTTAATTGGCAAAATCTACCCTAGGCCACCATGCATTTATTTTCCCTGTTTTCTGTGCCCTTGTTGCTCTTTTTTCATTTTTTTTCCTTCTCCTTTCTGTCCCCACTGCCTAAACAGCATGTGTCATTTCTCTATAGCATTTAACACATGGTTGAATGCTTCTCTCTCATAATCATTTGATTAGAACAATAATACTGAGAAAAACTGTATAGAAATTCAAAGTACTTAGAGCACACCATCCTGTCTTTTTATCATTTGCAGCATATATGAAGGACTGGTCAATATTACTCTTCTTTATGGTATAGCTGGGAAACTCAAAATAGCACTTTTAATATAGCAAATTCATGGTTGACACGGACATTCATAGGCTCCTCAATTGATCTTATATACCAGAAGATTCCTGGATCAGATTTTGCCTCTGCTATGAATTTGGCAGATGGATGTAGTAAAATACCTTCTTAGCATTAGTTTCTTATCCCTGATAAGAATAATCATAATGAACCTAAAGATTATTGTGATAATATATGTAAAACACTTTACAGAACGTTTGAAAGTATCACAGTATTAGCCATGTCTCTCTATTCCTTATTTTTAAAAGAATCCAGGAATGTTTGCAAATTATAATCTCCCATATTGCTTTTATTTTTGTGTTGAATCCTCTACTATTCAGAGATTCACCAATAACAGGCAACAAAAAGCCATATGGAGGCTCCCATGTGATTAACAAATCTGCAAAAACACTGTTATTTTCGCATTGGCTCCCTGTTTCTAAATTTGCACACCATTGTTTATTTTTATTTTTTTGTTTTTGGGTGCTGCTATTAAGGTGTCAGGAAGTTTTGTTTCCTTTCTCAGGTGAAAACAACACATACTGGCAAAATTATGTATATTAAAAGTATAACAAGGCATTTAAATGATTAGGAAAGTTTTCTAATGACAGGGAACATAAATATTATTCAGTTGAATACAGAAAAACATAGTTTGATATTTAACATGGTATACATGGCAGAACATTCATTGTCTCTGTGTGGAAAATCTGAATGGTTGAGAATCAGCAGTTCAGGTTGTGTATTAACAAAATCTAATATTGAACTTGAATGGAAGTACAAATAAAATCATGAAGAGAGATCTACACAGTTTAATCTGGTGTTCCCATTTCATTTTGTAAAACATGATTTCATTGCATATTTAAAATAAATCTGTCATATACTAGAAATATTGAAATAATTAAACACATTTGATTTTTATGCATACATTTTCTAAAATTAACTGCCTTTTTCACACTAATCTGCCTTGTCTCTAATTGGGTTGAAATGTGTGAAAGAGAGAGAACAGTTTTTCAAAGGGAAAATTAAGTCAACTTTCATCTGTTATTCAATGTGGAGGGTGCAGGCCGGAAAAAAAGCTTCTTGTGGTTTCTGGAGGTGGTAGCTTTTGCAGTGTTAAATGTCCTGCAGATTAAAATACTGTATTTCTATTTATTTACATTTTAATGCACAAGGGATAGAAATGTCATGGATTATTCCTCAACTTATTATATTTTGTTTTTTGGTAAGAGAAAGTTGTTGAAACTTGAAATCTAACAAATAAATGTGGGATACTTTTGTCCAGTGAAAGTATCTGTCTCATCCTTTGCCATTAAATGAGTGGAAAGATGGAAAAAATGACCAGCCACTGGTTATGCCTCATGTGGCTGTGTCATGTAGCATGTCTCATGTAGCTGTTTATGATCTAAAATCAATGCATCTTCTGAATTTGGTAATGAAACCTCCAAATTATAGGTTCATGCATTGTCTTTCCTATTAAGGCAAAACAAGGAAACCTTTCAAGTTTCAAATTAAAACTGGGAGATACTTGAGGTATCTTGATCATTGTATTCTATGTTATATATTTCCCCTAATCCAGATTTTAGAGCAATCCATTCATTTCTTGATTAGATTGACATCCCTTTCTAATCTACATCAAGCAGCTTTGATTAACCCAATCACTGATCAAGACATTTTGAACAGTATTACATCTTTTTAACATGGCAAATCTGGAATGGATAGATTTCCTGCTGTTTACTTCAAAAGGTTCTGAGACATTTTAATATATTATCTGAAGCCTTTATTTAATGATATATTATCTACAAAGTCATGGCAGGCCTTGGAGTTAGTGATTCTATCCAAATATTAGAGTGAACCTAAATTCCATGAGTTGATACTGCCCACTTGCATAATTAAATCAAGATATGAAAATATTTATTGCCATTCTTGTCTGCAGAATTAGCTTATTTGTATTCTGACCAAGACTGTTTTATGCGTTTAGGTGGGTATTAAACGTGATTCAGTACTGCAGCACCCCTAAACTTGCTGCTGCTTTATTTACTGTAGATATTTAAAAACAATACAGATTGGACTGGCCTTACTTTAGTGTTTATGTAAAATAGGATTTGGAGAGATTATCATTACATTTTTGGATTGTTTTTAGCATTCCCTTCCCTCCCTTCCCCCTGCATAAAGCAGTCCTCTAAATCAGTGTATGTATTTGGAGTTGATCTGGAGAAGACATGACAGGTTTGCTGCTCTTTGTCATTGTGATTACACTCCCTCAGTGCCCATCAGAACACATCTGTAGATGGGGAGAGGAGCTGAAAGTTTGTAATATGAAAGATGAATTTGTACTGTGATTGATGTATTATGTCATTCCAAATCCAAATTTTATAATACTTCCTTTTCATGCTACACCAGACATGGCATTAATAAAGATACGGCATTAATAAAGATAAATCTGAACTTCCCTGTTGAACCACTCTGTGAGCTATACAGGATAAGCCTCAGCAATTTGAAGGCTTATATCCTAGATTTTTGGGTCTCCAAATACTTTGTGATATTTCGTCCAAAACGTCATGCCAGTGAGTACTGGAAACTATAGTCTGTTAGAAAGATTTGATACGACTATCCTTGCATAAGTTATGCCTTGCTTCTATCAAGATGATGCTCTTAAACTTGGCAG